TGGCCGCAGTTAAAATATGAATTGTTACATATTTCATTTTTTTGGATAAATGTTTGTCAGAGATCCCTAGTAGGAAGAACTCTGGTTTGTATTCAATTTGTTCTTTGGTTATCTCCTCCAACCATTTTCTGATTTTTTGCCAATATTTCTGGGTTTCCTTGCAAGACCACCACATGTGAAAAAGGTTCCTTCTATGCTTTTACATTTCCAGCATTTTGGACTCGTGTTAGGGTTCATTTTCGCCAACCTCGAAGGGGGCAAGTGCCATCTATAAAACATTTTGTATGTATTTTCTTTATATGCTGCCGATTTTGTAATCTTGATATTTCTGTTCCAAATCTTTTCCCATTCTGATAATGTAATACTTCTTCCGACATTCCTGCTCCAGGCTATCATGTTCCCTTTAACTATCTCTTGTTCTAATTCTACTTCCAGTAAATATTTATAGAATTTAGATATGTTCTTTTTGTTTGATCCTAATAAAATTTTATCTAAATACTGCAGTTTGTTATAAATTCCGAAGTCTTTGATATCTTGTTTGTATCTGCTATGAATTTGAATATATAACCACTGATCAATTTTAAATCCCTGTTCCTGTAATTCTTGTCGAGTTTTTAATTTTCCTTGCGGATCTAATAAATCTTTGTATTTAATCATTTTTGTTATGTCCAAATTATTGGGATGTACCATTGCCTCCATTGTTGATAGCCAGATCGGAATTTTTAGATAGTGTTTTTTACATATTTTTTTCCAATTAATTAATAATGAGTCCCTAATAAGGTGTCTGTGAAAATAAGACTGCTTGGGTTTCCCCACTTCCCATAAGAAGGCATGCCACCCTCTCTGGAGGTCATGCCCTTCTAATGCTAAAATTCTTTTATTAAGTAAGTTCACCCAGTCTTTTAACCATAATAAAATAGCTGCCGAATAATATAATTCCCAATTTGGAAGAGCTAGACCTCCTCTACTTTTCGCATCTTGTAAGGCCTTTACATTGATCCTGGCTTTTTTCCCCTGCCAAATAAATTTAAGTGTAATCTTATTTAATTCTTCGGGGAAAAAATTTGGCAACATAATTGGAATTGTCTGGAATAAATAAAGAAATTTTGGTAATATGTTCATTTTAATCGAGGCAATCCTGCCCAATAGGGAAAGCTGCAGTTTATTCCAGGATTCTAAATCTTTCTTTGTTTGTTGAAGTAATTTATCATAATTGTTCTCTTTGAGTGATTTACCTTGTGGTGTTAACCATATTCCTAAATATTTGACCCTTTTTGTTACCTGTATCCCCATCATTGCTTCTAATTCTTCCTTCTGGTTTTCTGTTAAGTTTTTGGTCATTAATTTCGTCTTTTTTCTATTAATTTTTAATCCTGCCACTGCGCCAAATCGTTCTAATTCTTTTATTAGGTTATATCCTTTTTCCATAGGTTCCTCCAAAAAGAAAACCATATCGTCAGCAAACGCTTGTAGTATATATTCTTCTGATTTGACCCTCACTCCTTTAATTTCAGAATTTTGTCTAATCCGTGTTAGGGCAAATATGAAAAGAAGAGGTGAGAGAGGGCAGCCCTGTCTAACACCTTTTTCTATATTTATTGGACCTGTTTGTTCGCCATTAATTAGTATATTAGCCTGTTGTGTATTGTAAATTGTTGTTATAATGTTTTCGAATTTGGTGCCAAGACTCATATTGTAAATTTTTTGAATTAAAAAGTGCCAATTTAAGTTGTCAAATGCTTTCTCAGCATCTAAAAACATGAGTGCGGATTGTTTCTCCGGATGGGCTTCATAGTATTCTAGGACATCGATAACGGTTCTTAAATTGTTCTTTATTTGTCGGAACGGAAGAAATCCATTTTGATCTTTGTGGATATGTGTATTTAAAGCTTGTTTTACTCTATTAGCTATGATAGAAGTAAATAATTTATAGTCGGCATTTAAAAGTGAAATCGGTCTATAGTTGTTAATATATCTATGATCTGCATCCTCCTCCAGGATTAGCGAAATCAGCGCCCCCCTCCACGAGTCCGGCATCTTGGCTGCCAGAAGTACCTCGTTGAACACTTCCAGTATTAGTGGTCCTACTAGTTCCATTATTGCTTTGTATAGTTCTGCCAGAATCCCATCTGGTCCTGGAGATTTGTTATTACTTTGATTCTCCATTGCTGATTTCAATTCAGACCATGTAATATCTTTATTCAATAATTCTATCCATTCCTCTCCAATTACCTTGTCATTCGTCTCCTCTAAATAAGTTCTTATTTTATCTTCATTAACTTCCTCCTCTTTATATAATCTTTGAAAATAGTTGTAAATAATATCTTTTTTCTTCTCTATCTCATGTAGTAAGATGCCTTTCTCATCCATTAGTTGATGTATCAATCTCTTTTCTTTCACTTTTTTAAGTTTATGGGATAACCATCTTCCTGGTTTATTTGCATACTCAAATTAAGTTTGTTTGGACCTTTTCAAATTAACTTCTATTTTATCTTGTTCAAGTAAGTTCAATTTATGTTTAATTGTTATTAACTGATTTTGTATTCTCTGGTTTTTAGGGGTTTTTTGTAGTTGTATTTCTAATTCTTTAATTTGTTGTTGGAATTTATTTTGTTGGGCATATTCTTAACTGTTAAATATTTCTTATTTATCTGTTCTTGATTAGCTTCCCTTTCCTCTTCCTTTATTCTCACTCCCTTAGAATTAAATAACTTTCCCCCTTTTTTGCTTGCTTACATTCTAGCACTAGAAAAGATTGTCAAGCAATGTGTCTCCCAATTATTAGAAAAGAATGTCTCTGTGTTATTCTAACTAATCTCAACTACAGGATGGAATGAAGGAATTTTTTAAAAAATTTTTAGATACGCCACATTTGAGAGGATTGACTAACATTTTAAATGACTTTAATACACCTGAGTAAAAGTCCAGATTCAACAAGATGATGTTAAGTAGGGATAAGTATAGGATATAGTGCATTTGAATAAGGACAGTGAAATTTATAGGCACAGGATTGTAAAATTGGCTTGACTGCTTATTAAAAATGTACTTTTTTTTGCATTTTTGTTTTTTTCTGCATTTTTAGGCCCTCTTGTTTGGTTTATTCTGGAAAGCTTTGGTGGAAAGGAATTCTTAATTCCCCAAGTTGAAATAATAGAGGGGACTTGGTAATTGTAGATTCTGTCCTCTCTAACAGGAAGAAAGAGACTGAAGTAATGGTTTTAAATCTCAGAACAGATGATGATATAGCCTTGCTAATCCTTCCTATGCTTCTGACATTGATGAGCTTTCTCTATCCCATCTAATGCTAGACTCAGCATCTTTTATGGTGCTGAACTTTCAGTCCTAAGTGGGAGATGGGAAATCCGTATTTACTTACTGAACGTCACTGGCCAGATATGATATTTCAGACCCTGCTCTGGTGGGAGCTGCTAGATCAGTGCTCCAGTGCCTAAGCCTTATTCTGAAACATAGAAAGTACTATTGGTTCTGTTTCCTTCCCATGGGTAATTCTCTGCCTAAAATAAAGTCAACAACCCGAAACATAGTGTACTGCAAGAACATTTAGCATTTGCTTCCTTCAGTATACAACCAGGGTATAAACAGGATCATGTGCATTGGTGTTAATTCTTAGTAACCACATAGATAAATAATCTCCAGGATGACGCGGCCCCAACCTGGTTACACAAGCAGTATAGAATTGATATTTTTCTCTGTGTTAAGTTGTATTGTATTTTTAACAATATTAGCTGTTGTTCCAGGTTACTAGGTATACAAGGTCCCAGAGCCTAGGTTTGACGTCATGTTTTCCATGTGAATAGCCTAGAACCATTTGTTATCCCAATAGTGAGGCCTTTTCAACTAGTTAATAAAACCGACAAATCCTCCTCAGTGCCAAATCAGACAGTTCCAGAACATTAAAATCAGGTATTGAAACAGAGCAATTAAACTAATTTAGGAGAACCTTAGATGAATTAAATTAGTTTCATTTTCTTTAAATGGAAAGTTTTTTTACCCCTCATGGTATAAATGATAATATATTGTAAGCAATTTATTAACCAGTGAAGGTTTAAGCAAAAATTAGGTTCATAGTAAATTTTTCTGAAAGTGTTGTCCGTATACACACCATGAAGTATACATTTTCTAAAATTACAGTGTTTAAATTATGTTATATTTATTATTGTGGGTAATTCCAAAGAATTCCTCAGCACATAAACAATCAGTACATTAAAGCCTTTGTTTGTGATCATAAATACCTCATCTCTTTTGGAACTTGTCTTGAGCCACCTGATTCATTTTATGTTTTATTACTTTTTGAAACTTTGTTGCTCTAATGCAGGGGTGTCAAACTTGATTTAATTGCATCAGGGTTGTGTTTGACCTTGGGGGGCTGGGGTGGGCATGGACTGCCATGACAGTATCCTGTACACGGCCTCCCCAGGCCCCATTTTCACTGGCAGAGGCTGCACAAAGCCATTGTGGCTGAAAACGGAGCCCGGGGGGGGGGGCGCAAGCGTGTGTCCAAGCTCCGTTTTCTCTGGCAGAGGTACCACATCCGGTCCTTCACTGTTTCCAGGGTGGCCCCGCAGGCCAGATTTAAGCACACTGCGGGCCAGATCTGGCCTGCGGGTCTTGAGTTTGATACCTCTGTGCAAAGCATCACTCCTAAGCATAACCTCTCTTTTTCTTACACAGTCTGACTTATATCTCAGAAACTTTCTTAGAAATAAAATGGTAAATATTTACAGTTTGTTTGTTTGTAAGTGTGCCAAACTACTTAAAGGGAGGAAAGTTAGCAGAGAATATCTAGGAGTATTACTAGCCCAACTAGGCTGAGAAATCCTGTCCCCCCTCCCTTAAACCAACATATATTGTATATATTGTACTTCTGTAGATAATTTCCATTCTGATTATTTCTTTATCTTGTTTCTTGACACCAATAATTATCCTATTTCTTCTTCTTCAATTAATTATTTTTCTCTGCCCCTTTGTTTCCTTTTTAGGTGACCAACGGTGACTTAAAACAATTCTAAAGTGCCATTATGACAAGCAGTATTCCCCAAGACAGGTACAGTAATTCTATGATGAGATGAAAAGTTGTTGTTTCATTCATGAACAAGTATACCCGTGTCATGTGAATGCAGAACATACTGTTTGCTGTAAGTCAGGTGTCACTAAATTGCATTTGTTGGTGCCCTACTGTCCTGACAAGGATCATATTTGGTATTTGCTATGGGTCACCCATTATAATTTTTTTTCCTAGCATTGGATAGAACCAGACATCTAAACCTTGGAGTTGCTGCAAATTTAGCAAATATTTGACAATCAAGGAAAAGGTGTTTTTTTTACCTTTTCAGTCTGATACTAGAACTTTTTTCAAGAATAACATATGAGTTCTCCTTTCTCTGAAGCTTTTATGAACTTGAATAACCCTTCTAAGAATTGGTAGTTTCCTTACGTGGTTTAGTCTGTTATTGTGAAATATTTTTTAGTTGGGGCCATTTATTTCATAGCTTAAACAATATTTTAAGAACTGCTTTTGTCTTTACTGTGTCTTTATTTTTAATTTCTATTTCACACTGCTCAGGGATATGTATGATGTAAGGATGATGTGACACATAGGCATTGTAAAGTTCTTGCTGCTCTCTGACCTTGGTGGTTTGTTTGCAGGTGTTTCATTACCCAGTTAGATAGAATCATCAGTATGGGTGAGGATGATGTGAGTAATGAAATGTCTGTGAGCAAACAGCTAAGCTCAGAGAGCAGCAAGAACTCCACAGTTCAACCCTGAGGTATATGCATTCCCTTCTTTTGTAGACAAGTATGAATCACCTCCCTCTGTCATGCTTAGTGTTCATTCATCAACCTTGTTTCTTCTAGATATAAGGCTGTTTGGCTCATCTTTTTTATACTTGGTCTTGGGACGCTCTTGCCATGGAATTTTTTCATGACAGCTTCAGAGGTAAGTTAAGAGTGTATGTGCATAATTCCAGACCAAGGAATTGCCCATACCACTGATTGGTTTCACTAAGATTATATTACAAGATGGAAAACCTTACATGGACCTTTGTTGAAAACACAGTACAGGTAGTTCTTGACTTTTACCACCATTCGTTTAACGATCATTTGAAGTTAAGATGGCATTGGAAAAAGTTTCTTATGACCGTTTTTCACACTTATGACTGTTGCAGCATCTCCATGGTCATTTGATCAAAATTCAGGTGCTTGGCAACTGATTCGTATTTGTGAAGATTGCAGTGTCCTGGGATCATGTGATCACCTTTTGCAAACTTCTGACAAGCAAAGTCAATCGGGAAGCCAAATTCACTTAACCACTGTGGCAAGAAAGGACATAAAATGGGGCGAAACTCAGTTAACAGCTATCTTAGCAACAGAAACGTTGGGCTAAATTGTGATTGTAAGTCAAGGACTACCTGTAATGTTTTTTATTTTATTTTAATGGGAGTTCAGTGCAGCTATCCCACTCTCTGTTACTCTATGCAATTTATGTAACTGATCATTTTTAGCCCATTTTCTATTTTCATAAAGATTAAAAGTCCTGGAGAAATGTGACTCCTTTATATTTGCACATGAAAGGCAGAATTTTTCTGCGTGGATTACTTGGGAAATAAAAGAAAAAGTGCTAGATGTTGGAACTGGTTTCCTTCATTGCTTCGTCTGACCAATTCTTTGTTTCCTGTTAGTACTTTATCGACCGCCTGAAGGACTCTCCCAGCAACATATCATCGTTGGATTCCTACGCCAATGTGAATGACACAGGAAAAGAGGTAGTTTCTCTCAAATGTTCGCAGTCACTTGATCAACCAAGTGAATTCAAGGGGGATGTTTGTGAATTGTGTGAAGCAGCTCTGCTTGATCTTGAACCCTTCCATTAGGGCAGGTAATTGGAATGGGTCAGTGGTTCCAAGCTGGACACTTTGGTAACTGCAAGGGGGACTAGGGTTTCAAAAATTATATGCACCTAGCATTGTCCAATTATTAAGTGTGGGAGCTTTGGTTTCTTAATTTTTTTGCCTATGTATGCTTAGTTTCCTCCTCCTGAGGCCGAGAGTAAAATTGTTCTTGAAGTTTCTGCTGCTACTCTACCACATTGCATTTTGGGAAATGGAAGAATTCCAGATGTTCTACCCCTCTCCAGCTACACTTTTGCCAAAGTGCAGGGCTACCGTGTCAAAAAAGAGTTGCCTGCTTCTATTTATGAGGCTGAGGAAAAGGAGAGTCAATAAATACACATGAAACTTTTTTGAACATAACGGAAAAAGATTCCTTTAACTTTTAACTAGGAAAAAATGTGTGATGAAAGATTCTTGGAAAACATTCTAAAATACTTGGGAAAGATTCCATTAAAATGTAGAGTAAAAGCAAGGATCTACATTGATGTTTTCCCCCTAAATGTTGTAGTTCCTTTTTTTCATGAGATAGCTATAAGCATCTTTCTTTAGTTTGTACACGTTTGCCAAAGTGCTCATGCCGCAGGTTGAGAAAGCTCTGCAGGAGATGGATTATCTGGCACACTTTCAGTTGGATTTCAGGTACAGGTTTGGAACCAAATCAACATTGATCGTGCTTGTGATAGTCTGGACAGGTGCAGATAATATATTTATTGATCTTCTTGCTCTTTTTGATTAATGGTATCCTTCTGGATTAGTTCTGGGGTTGGGAGTTGGGGGCACAGTCTTGGGATGGTCTCCCTCCTTCCTCTGGGTTCATATTCAGTTGGTGTTGATGGGGGTTGGGGAGGTTGAACCTATTCCTCCTCCTTTGTGCATTTCCTTAAGGCCCAATGCACTCACTCCTCACTCATTTAACATCTACGTGAAACTACTGGATGAGATAATTCAATGGTACAGGGTGAAATGTCATCCCTATGCTAATGATACTTACTGGTAGTTGTACATCTCTGCCCTGGACAACCAAATGATGCTGTGGAGATTCTGTCTCATGTCTGGAAGTTGGGGAGGGGGAGTGTCTGAATGGGAGAACAGGAAGCTTCATCTAAACCCTTGAAAGATTGAATGACTTTGGGTTGTAGGGCACCTTGGATCTGCTGATTTTCCATCTTTAGTTCTAGATGGGATTGCATTACCCCAAACAGGACTGGTGTGCAATCTGGGAGTCCTCCTGGATTCATGGCAGGTGCTGCTGGCAGACATGGCCTGGAGGGCTTTTGGCAGAACTTCATGTGGTTACCAATTGTGCTCCTTCCTAGATACAATGACACCATACATGGTCACTCATGCTCTGCCCCCTAGCCACCCCCATTGGATACTGCATTGTGCTTTATGTGGAGTTAACCTTGAAGAACATCCAGAAGCTCCAATTGGTCCAGAATGCAGCAGTGCAAATTGTTAGGGCATATCGGTATACCCACATTACACCTTTGCTGCTCCAGCTGCACTATATTTGAGGAACTACCTTTCATCGGTTGTTTTTACCCACTCCATCAAATCTGGCAGAAGGGTATATTCTGTACCCTGCCCATTCAAGAGCATTACCTGGCAGGATCCTATGTCATCTTAGTTGCAATGCCTCCCCTTTAGAACACCATGTCACCTGAAATTAGATCGGCCTTGGTCCTGCTGGCCTTCTGTAAAACTCTTAAGACCTTGGTGTTTTCCCAGTCAGAAGGTAATAGAACTCATGAAATGCATAAATGTATTGTTCATGGATTTACCTTTGGTTTGGTGTTTTTATTGTTTTAATTATTCCCACTGTTTTGATACTCATATTGTGTTAGGCTCTTAGAATCACTTTCTGAGATGGGTGGTCATATAAATTTAAAAATAACAATAGTTAAATTGTCAATAAAAAAAGCAAGACAGTCTGGAAAGGAGACATTGTAGTACCTGGATACAGCAGAATACAAGAGAAATAACTGGCAGAAATCACAGAAGAAAAAGACCTGCAAATAGATGTAGAATGACTGTGGCAAAAGAAGGCAAATATAATACCAATAGGTGCCTTGGGTGCAATCTCTACACATCTGGAGCACTACTTGAACACCATCAGCATTGACAAAATCGCCAAAAGTCAATTGCAAAAAGCAGCTTTACTTGCAACAGCTTACATCTTGCAATGATACTGCCTACAACATCTCCCTAATCTTAGGTCCTTGGGAACAATTCAGATAGAAATACCAAATCTAATCTAATTGGCTAACTATGTGACTAATAATAATAATGATAATAACGCCTTTCTATTCACTTGCAGGACTCTTATAATCTTGGTAATGTGAATGTCACAGGGAAAAAGGATGTTCCTCTCTCATACCTACAGTCCATATTTACTAATGTGATGACATTGTGTGCCATGCTACCTCTACTTATCTTCACCTGCCTTAACTCTTTCATCCACCAAAGGTATAGTCTTTATAGATTTTCTAAAATGAAAATTCCAGACATCAATTGCTCTGAGTCCTTTGATTCACAGCATAATGGCAGCATTCAGACTAGGTCATTTTGAGCTTCTCAGTGGGAAAAGAACTTTATTTGGATCAGTTTTAGATATTTATGATGCTACTCCAATAATTTGAATTATTTCCATATAGTGATCCAGAACAGTATTAGGAGCACAGTACTTAAAAGCAAAAATAAATTGTTTCATTTTGCTGTATTGTCATTAGGGTTTTGAAGTATATAATTATTTCAGTTTTACAATGTCTTATTTTTGTTTTATGTAGATGGAACAACTGCTTATATCATAACTGAACCATAATGCAACAGATAATTTATAGATACATAAAATCTCTTCATTTATATTCACAAATTCAACATAGTCGGTCTAGATAGCTCCCCAACCTGACTGTTTCTAGATGTGTGAACTTGAACTCCTTGAAGCATAATCCTTGTTGAGCACTCTGAAGAGCACACATTTGAAGGATGCACATGTTGGGAAAAGCTATTTCAGATTGTGATTACACATCTGAAAACAGGTTATCCGTTGCTTGAAGTTGTATCTCAATAGAAATAATTGGATTTTATTATGATTTTAGAAAGTCAAGGCATTTTTATCCTTATCTTTTTCCATTTTTTAGGATCCCTCAGCAAATACGAATCATATCTAGTTTGGCTGCCATCTTCTTGGTCTTCATGGTAACAGCGATCCTGGTCAAGGTCCCAATGGAGCCTTTGACTTTTTTCATCATTACTATGATCAAGATAGTCCTCATCAATTGTAAGTGAAGGGTTTTTGGGGGGGGAGGGGTTATCTGTGCACATGCACACATTTATGAATTATATACATACATACACATATAGATAAACATATTATGTCTCTGATGTACAATATTTCACCCTTACCAGTGTTTGAGAATCTAAACATTTTTTCAGTATTGAGAATTTTGAAGTGGGTAGAATGTAATTCTTGCAGATCCAATTTTTGGCAGTGGGAGAATGGGCAAGAGCAGATAGAAACATTTCCTGTCAGTGATCAACATAGCGTGCAGGCTATGGTGATGTAAGTTACATCCTGCCCTTCAGCCTTGGGTTCATTTTATAGTGCTTACTTTCTATGGATAAGATCTATTTGTGATTCCCTTTTAAATGGTTTGTCTTCTTCTTTTTTTTTGACAGCCTTTGGGGCCATTCTCCAAGGCAGCCTTTTTGGATTGGCAGGGCTTCTTCCCACCAGTTACACGGCACCTATTATGAGTGGGCAGGGCCTTGCAGGGACATTCGCAGCAGTAGCTCTGATCTGTGCTATTGCCAGTGAGTATTACATATTGCATTATTGTTCTAGCTTATGCTGCTCCTTTCAACCATCTCTCTGTGTAATATTGATGTACATCACTTACAGGCACCCTCTGGTATTTCAGAGAGCAAGAGGTTTCCTCAGAAGCCACCCATCACTAAGGACATAATCGCTTCTTTTCTCTAAATCTTTTTCAGCTGGTTCTGAACTAAAAGAAAGTGCCTTTGGTTACTTCATCACTGCCTGTGTTGTGATCATGATAGCTATTGGCTCCTATATCATGTTGCCTCATCTGGTAAGGTTATTTTTTTCTGAAAACAGCCCTGAGTATGCTGAGGTAGTGGGCTAGGGAGGGAGTGTCCTGAAATGCAAACACCTTTGTGCAAAAGATTGCTGGGCTTTTCATTCAGTCCATGAATAAGTAAGAAGGTACCCAGCTTGTTTCAGAAGAGTTCCCATTGTCCAGCCACAACCTGTTGTTTTTTTTACCCCTGTTCCATTTTCCTTCTACACCACCTGCATAGTATCTTAATATTTCCCTAGGATTTTTTCTGCTTTTATTCGATGAAGAATAAGAGAGAAAATGCAACTTCTGTAACTCAGGCTGAGATGGAAACAAAAGTGGATCTCATCAAGAAAGGTAAAAACTAGAAAGACAGAGGGAATTGTGTTCATGTCCATAAACGCAGGGTGGAAAATAAGTGGCATATCAGACATTCCCAGGTTACAAATAATATTGCAACCAATGTTAAGGGATGCTGGAAAATGTAAATCGGCATCTATTGAGGCTTAAAGGTAACAAATCTCTAATTTAATACATGTGGGGACCTCAGAACCTCAAGGCAATTTAAAAAACATAGCCTATTTTTATTCTCTTTATTCAATTGTTGTCCTCTAATTTCTTCCCGAGTTAGCAAGTTAAAATAAAACCCATGGTTGTCATCACATCAGCACATATGACCTAGCATGAGATTTCTTATACATTTTCTACCAGTAATAGTTTCATGTAAGGCTCTCCAGAATAACCAGCTGCCAGCAGCCACTGAGCAATTTTTTATTTTCTAGCCTTTGCTATTGTCTTTCAAAGATTGTACGTGAGAAGAGATGTACCGACCTTTGAATACCTATCGGTCTAGAAGGCCAGGGATTTAAAAAACGAACTCTTGTTTATTTAGGTAATCTCTCAAAAAACACATTCTGAGGAAAAAAAATATTGAAATGCCTTAATGGGTTTTACAACCTGTCTGTTCTCATTAAATTTCCCTCATATTCTCCACTGAACCAAATGTTTCATTCTGATTTCTACTGTCAACAATTCAAAATATTTTTTTTCATAAGCATCCATAGACGAAACAGCAAGGACTAAAATGTCACAGGCAGCAGTGACTAAAACAGTTCCATGCTGATAAAACCACTTTAAAATAGCAATTACTGTGGAAGCATTTAAGAAACCTCTGGGCAGAAAACATCTTGTCCTTTCACCAAATTGATTCCTGGCCAGTGTCTCTGGAAAGAACATTTCTTGACTGAGGGCTATTCAGACAAGGTCACTTGCAGTTCAGAATGTAAAGGCACTTGCACCACAGACCTCATTGACACCTAAGACATGGTCAGGAATAAAGGATAAGAGGCTCTTTTTCAGATGCTGTGGCCCTGAATTATGAAGCGTTATAGCATAAAATTGGCCTTTTAACTTGGGTACAGGACTGGAATGGGGCCAGGGAAAAAGATATAGTACTGGTTCAATATTAATGTGCAGTCCTAGTTTCTACAAAAAATATGTATTAAAAGTTTTGTCCAACTTATCTTTGTCATCTGTTCACAGATGGGGTTAACGGTGTTGAACGAAACCACTGTAGGAATGGAGATTCCCTTGCCTCCAGCCACAGATCTTCAGTCCTTGGCATCTTCAAGAAGGTACTTGACCTATGGATTGGGCCTAGATATGGGTTTTCTTTTCACACCCTAATATTCTGCTTCTGTGTTTGTTTGTTTAAAACTGTTATCTGGAATTCTATGATTGTATTTGCCTCTGCAAATACAATCCTAGGGAGCATGACAGCTCCGCAGTTAAAGATGCTGGGCTTGTCAGCTGGGCTGGAAAAAAAAGACTGCCCAGTTTCGAGATCCGAGCACCACACCACAGCTCTCGTTCCTGTCCCAGTTTCTGCCCACCTAGCAGTTTGAACACATGTAAACGCAGGTAGATTAATAGGTATCGTTCTGGTGGGAAGATAAAAGCATTCCCTGCACCCTGCCACATTACCACAGAAGACAATGTTGGCTCTCTTGGCCAAGAGACAGAGATGAGCACCATGCCCCAGAGTCAGGCACAACTGGCAGGGAAACCTTTGCCTTTACCAATTTGCCTTTGCGTATATGTTCTCTTTCCTAGATATGGGTTATGGCTGTTTCTGTCTGCTTAGTTTTTACTGTTACAATTGGAGTCTTCCCAGCTGTCACTGCTGCAGTAAAGCCAACTATTGGAAAAAATACACCTTGGGGTAAGTTAAACTTGGTTCTTAGAAGTGATTAAGGTGCATAATGATGAGACAGTTTGTGGATCTTTTAGAACTACCTGCAATCCTGCACTCCTATGACAGTGTAATCTGAACTCTATCTAAATCCCACAAAACAAAGAACAAACAAAGCAAGACATTTATGGACCCGCTTCAGTTCATTGACTTTTGGGGGCTGAATTCTCACAACATTTCATTTCACGCCATTTCAGTTGGGTCATGTCAGGGGTTGACTCATCCATTCCAAAACATGAAATGTCTTCTGCTTCGACTGGCCATTCTTCTCTAGATGCACTTGTGCATTGCTTAAGATTAATGTTGTGATGCAAGGCCCACATTTATTTAAGCTTCAGATTGTTCTGATATTTCCTGGGCATTTTGTTAATACAATCCAAAATCCATTGTTGGCATCTCTCATTGTGATCCATCTAGATCCTCAGGCTGCAAACTTGGCCCTAACCATGATACTCTCATGGCTTCCTTCTCAGTTGAGAAGAAGTACTTTTATTTTTGTTTTCTCTAACTCGTCATGTTTCTAAATAATGAAAATTCTACTTTCCAACTCATGTGCCCCAGCATATCATTCCAATAGCCAGCTGACTTATCCAGGTAGTCTTGGTATGCATACTGCTTTTTCTTAATTTAACTAGAACCTTAGAATCTGTTAATAGAAGCTATATGAAGTTCAGATCACATTGTAAGTCAAGGTATGGCATGATTACAGAGATGTGCAAAGAATTCACAAACAGTTTCTCTTGTAACCGAGGCTTCCTCTGGAAAGCCTAGATCAGTTTACAGAATGTCTCCTGGCAGTCTGCTTCACCTTAACTTTATTTGTCATCTGCTTTTGGAGCCTCACTGTGAGTAAAGATGATGAAGTGTGGGCGAATTTAGTCTGGGGAGTGGGAAGACCTGAAAGAGAAGGATAGGGTGTGGGACAAAGTAGTTATGAAAATACCGAAAACTAAATAGACTCTATTTAATTTTCCATATCCAATTAAGACACAATTTGTTTGTTTTCCTGTTTTGGGGGTGTTGGTCTTCCCACATCCATGTACATTTATGTCATTTATTATCCTACAGACTATATAGATGCTTTATTTTTTTTTTTATTTTTTTTTGCACATATTTTAGTATTCTAGTCCTTAATAGTAAGGAAGGATTTAAAAAAGAATTAAACATCATGATCCCTGTATTCCATTAATTGAGCATTGTGATGATGGACTCAAACAGACTAGAGAAGTAATGATAATCCAGACTAGAATTGAAGAAGAATTAAGATTGGTATAAACCTAATATGGGGGGAAATCCATATTGAGAAACTATGGGGTCATACTTCTTTTTGAAGACAGAGCAGGCTTTGAAGATAGACTTTCTAGAAGAGATCAAACCAAAAGAAAAGTTTAAAAGGAATTGTTAGACGACCCAGATCTGTATGTGAGATGCTGTTTTAGTCTCATGTCTGTCCTCAGAGTCTTCTCCTTCATCAGACCTAAACTGCAAACTCAGATTTCAGGATTCTGCTATGTTTACTTAGAGAAATAGATTCACAAGTGCTTCAATAATGACTTGGTAAAAATCTCTCACAGCTTCCTGTGTTGTTATTTTTATTTGTTTGAGGAAGATGGAAAAGAGGACTATGTACTATTTGCCTGAGCCTAGCTAACTTAGGCTCAATATTGAGATGACTTATCTCAATATTGCCCCATTGGACACCGCAGCAGACAGAGTTTTTGTCCTGAGACTGACCACACTTCTCTATTACTCCCTCTCTCTCTCTCTCTTCAGTTTCCTATTTCAATCCAGTTGCTTGTTTCCTGATGTTTAACATCTTTGACTGGGCAGGAAGGAGCCTTACAACTGTCTGTGTTTGGGTGAGTATAGATAACCAGGCACTTATGGTACTCAACTAATCCACCTTTCTTAAAGTTCAGATGTGTCTTCTGAGCTAGGATCAAGAAAAAAAGGTACTTTTGTGAAACAGTTCTGAGGAAAAAATACAGAAGGATCTGAGGAAGAATGGTATTTTTTGTTCAGTTTTTCCACAATTGGGGCAATTGATGTCACAACTATATACATTGTAGAAGGAAAAATACTAAAGACCCTGATCCTGCTGAAGCCATTTCAGAAAAGCTTGGCTAAGTTGCTTAATGCTCCTTATTGCTTATATATGTGATATAAAGAAAAGAAGACTGATCTGGCAATGGCATAGAAGCTCTATAAATAAAGATGGTAGAATATTCTGAGCTTACCTTTGAATGACAGGTGCTAATTGCCATTATATACTAATACAGCAATACAGCAGCAAAGAAGTAAGAAGAGACAGAAGACAGATTTTCAAGTTGCTTGCTAGTAAATTAAAAAAAATCTGAATAATGAATGAATATCACGGGTAATTTTTCTACAGTAAAGATGCCACAAAAAGACACCTTAACTGTGGAGAGAAGTTTTAAGCTGACAAATCACTGGGAATTATACAAAAGGAGCCTAAGAAGGGATGAGGGAGAAGGAAATACTTCAAGCAGTAAGTGAAGAAAAATGATTAATGGAAAAAATTACATGAGTAACAATGACATGAGTAACAATGACACATGAGTAACAATGGAAGAAAGAAAAATTGCAGGGATGACACACTACTTTGCTTTGTCCAAATAATATGGCTTGTTTTTTCCTGTCATCTATTACCTTCCTATTCGGTGAGGGCACTTTAAGTTGTCTAGTCAGTAATCCCGTATTCACTATATACAATTTGCAGTCCATCTGGCACAGCATAGGGGTAGTATATGGTTGAAAGGCTGAAAAAGAAATATTACAGAACCACTCAAGATCTTGAAGGAGTATAAAGAAGCCAAAAACCTTTCTCGTTTCCCCACTGTCACTTCACCTCAGCATTTGAAACATTATTCCAGCCCTTACCTTTCAGGCCAATAACTTCAGCATAATATTTATAAAATTGCTTGATTAAAGTCGATTAAGGTTGCAGGGTACAGCAATTGGGCAGCTCATTTAAGTCAGAAAACCTCAGCAGGAAACCCATCCCAGTTCCAGTTTCACCTTTTGTATTGGGATAGGTTATGATGGCTGCTTTCCCTCCTGCCCAGCATCTCAGGCTTATCCCAATGAGAAAGATAGGTGGGTGTGCAGAAAATATGTTTACCAAAATTTCTATGTGGAAAGTTTGACTCAACAGAGATGATGGGTGGGTGGTTTGAGGCTGATGACCCACACAGATCCTTCCTTTCTTTGGTCTGGCACTTGTTCCTGTTGCTTTCTCCCTGGCAAAAAGCCTTATTTTGTATGTCTGCCACAACACACATAGGAAAGGAAAGGGAGAGAAGGATTTTCATCCACTTTAACATCTAAAGTGAGTCCCTGATTATCCAGCTCCAAGGGGAATAGGGCTATTTTTGCAACCAAGCAAAACCTCAGAAAGTCTCATTCTGTTCTCAGAAGTCTCATTGCCCTGTCAGTGAACATTTCTGAGTTAAATTGGAACTAACAATCTGGGATATGTTTGGCTATGTCACTCTGTTTTTGGAGAACCTTCTTTTTCCTTCTTTTTTTTTTTTTTTTTTTTTTTTTTGAGGTTGGGACGTTTCAGTGGGATGATAAGAATCATTTTATTTCTACTCCATTTAAGCGATTAGCCTTCATATAAACATTTATAAGGCAGTGTGACATAATTCGGTTTGCATCCACAGAAAGATGCCATTAGACTTGATAGATGACCCTAGTAAGAAAGCCAAATGGTATGTTACAAAAGACAGCAAAACATTTCCCGTTTAGAGAGCAAATGTGTATGGTTGAGGTAGCTGATTTAAAATAAAACATATAGCCTTTATTTACAACCTTGCATCAAATGATGAAATTGACATAAATTCTCTGTTGATAAAAAGCTACCTTTAGCCTGAATCAGACCATCTAGCCCCATGAGGTCAATTCCTAGAGATTCATAGCAGTTGTTAGCAGATCCACTTTGACTGGCTATAACTTTCCAAGGCTTCAGGTAAAACAGCAGCTTTCAAAATTTAAATCCCGTGTTTTATCAGTAAGCTGTGGCCTTTTCCAACAGTTTACTGATGAAGCAGTGGGGTCTGAATTCAGAAAGGGCTCCAATTCTGACATATCCTGAAGAGGATTCTCTGAACTCAGATTTAATGTTCAGATTTAAACTGCAGATTAAATTGATGCTAACCATGCCAGAAATACTTTCTTTGGTAGAATGAGCTGAAATTTGATCTAGATAGGGACAAGGAGACGGGTTAACAAGTCCTCTGAAGTTATGAGTGAGAAATGATCTAATGGTTGCACTGTCCCTTTGCCAAAGTTGAGGAAAGGACATGTTTTTTAGAGTATCCTGTTTGTTTGGTTGAGTTTTACAGCTGTTTGCTTTATTCAGATTATTTTTCCTCTTCCAATTGGTTTATTACTGGTTTTTTGAAATGATTGCTCAATGTTTTCTCTCTGACAGTGACCCAGAACCAAGGAACAGCTGTCCTTTCAATCAGTAATTTTTGTTCAAATGTAGAGGGGAGTGGCTGTGGAGGAAGTAGGTCTGAATAAAGCATATAATGAATGAAGAAGACAAGAAAGCCATAAACTCCCTGGTCTAAGCTCTACCCAGCAGCCAGCAAGCTCCTCCTATAAGGCCTCTATGATTATAGGATGTGGCCAATGGTATTTTGGCTGGCAGACCCTGCTCTGGAGTCCTCCAAAGCCCAAGAATGTATGAGGAACAGTGTTCTGGTGTATAATTTGAGTTATATACTGTACTAAAAGTACTTCATGAAACATAACACCGTAAATCAGTAAAAGCAGATGAATAAACTAAATACAATAAATATATTTATAAAAACTGTTCAAACTTTTCCCTTCACATACAAACACAGTTGAGAAAGACAGTGAAACCTTGTGCAAAGTGAACTATTAACAGGTATTAACAGATTAACAGAGTTGGAAGGGATCTTGTAGGTCTTTCAGATTATTTCTCACAAAGAGTAATAAAATATTGCAATTTAAGAGAATAATTTTTAAAGATATACTTCCCCAACTATAATATCATGTTGGTTGGGCAGGCTTCTAAATCTAGTTAATACAATAATAATAAAATTTAACATGATATCATACAAATAGAACAAATATGTTCTTTCATGTCTCTAGTCAGAGAAAAATCCCTCATCATATCTTTACTCTGAATATTTTTTTTTCTTATTGTTAGTTCCTGATACTTAGAGAAACAAGCAAAACTACATGGGCCATATATCTTGTTTTCCTTTCTGATCAAAGACAGAAACTCTCACCACTTTCAAGTAATTTCTAATGTGGTTTTTTAAATCAGAAAACCTCCATGTAATAAAGTTGAATTCTGGTTGAGGTCTGCAGCGCAGTGAGTTGGCAAGGGAAAGAGATGAAAGAATGATTGCAGTATTTTGATCTCAAATTACCTCATTTGAATGCCCACCTTGGAAAAACTCCATATAAAAAGAAGCCAGAAAAATAGGGAATATATTAAGCTCTCTCCTTAATGCACATGTAATTGCAGAATAAAATCTGGAGATGCAGTCAAAATAATAGTCTCCATCCACAGGATGCTTCCTTTCCAATTCTGTTGTTGCTCCTGCATAAGAAAACTCCACTTGCACTTACCTTTCTACACACAGGCAAACAAAGACCCAATTCACTGCAGACAGAAAAAATATTCCCAAGCCAGAAATATGAAAGGATTGACATCAAAGTAAATAAATATTGATTGCATGGAGATCAGTGAAAACATTTCCCCTAATTTTAAAATATTTAGTTTAGTTTAGTTTATTGTCATTGCACCTTTTACAACAAAATTAAATACCATCTTCAGTGTACATTATACATACCTTCTGCTCTCCTAGATATTTCCTGGTTTAGATCACTGTGATAAAAAGTATATAGCATGTGAAGTCCTTGCCAACAATTCCACACAATCTCCAGTTGGTGTAAAAACCAGATAAATGCATTACAGGTAGTCCTTAAGTACAACCGAAATGGGGCCTGCCCATTATGGTCGTAAATCATAATGGTGGTTTCATCTTGTGACTGGACCTAATTTTACAACCTTTGTTGTGGGCTTTTATTAAGCAAATATAGCTATCATAAACCAAGCACGGTGGTCATTAAGTGAACCCACTGTTCGCTATGGAGCGTTTTTGCTGAAAACTCAAAGTAAACATCAGTTTTTGGCAAAAACATAACAAACCATGTTCATGTTACTGTGTGACACTTAGAAACAGCTCTAAATGCTGTTTCTAAGTATCTTTAATATAATCATATGACGATGGGTGGAGAGGCAGACATCGTAAGTACACTTGATGGGATCTATCATAATTTCAAAAAGTTGCTGAACAACCAATCTTAAGTGATGGGCTATTACCTGCATACACCAACTCAAGGCGTTTTATGGCCTAAGAGCTTTAATTTATTCTTTCAATGACTGAATCTGTTATATATTTGCATACTCATCCTGGATAGGTCGGTCCGGACGGTGGGAAATTTAAAGAGCCATCATTGGCCACGAGCCGCGAGCAGCCCGCTATAAAAAAGGCTGCCGCAGTTTCGCCGGAATCAGATTCTAGAGAGAATAAAGAGAATAACAGATCAATTGGGTCTCGAGTCTTTGTTCCCACAACGCAACACTGGTGACGAAGGTGGGATACTGAGACAAAGGAGACCAGTTGTGCACGTGGCAACGAGGACCAAGCGAGACGAAATGGCTGGGAACAACTCGCCACCCGCACCATTCAACCCTGCAACTGAAGACTGGGAATCCTACATCGACCGATTCCTCATGTTTCTAGAAGGGAGCGATCTCCAAGGAATATCCGAACATAGGAAGAGAGCTGTC